TCTTTTCACATTCGGTGACTGTAGAAAGTCCTCTGCCTTACTCTTTAGAACCCTTTTCTTTATGTTTTGTTTTTGTAATAAATTCTCACTCATAGGAGACAGGCTCGATGATGTGAGATAGTCATTTTTGGCTGGAAGTGGTCCTCCCTGCTCAAAGATATTACTCTTTTTACTTCTCACTGTACTGATGTGGTCCAGGCAGCCTGTGGAGGCTTCTTCCCCTGTAGAGACCTTAAACCTTTTTCTGGCGATGGAGTCTCCCTCCTCAAATATTTTCCTCTTTTTGCTTCTCACTGTACTGATCTGGTCCAGGCAGCTTGTGTAGGCTCCTTCCCCCGTAGAGACCTTAAACTTTTTTCTGGAAATCTCATCTACGGGGCTGTTTTTTCTTTTTGTTGGACTTTCTAGTGTCATTCTGCTGTTCTCTTGATTACTCATGAGGGCTAAAGTTGTAAAAATATCTGCAGAATCTTTGTCTTCTGTGTAATTTAGCGATTATCAGTTTACCTTCAAGCCAAAACGATCTTACCTTGTGCTAGTTACTCTAGGAGTGTAAGGGAATTCTGTGCTTAGAATTGTTGAATCGTTCTTCTGACATCACTGTGACGTCACACAGGGCGTGGTCTTCAAACGGTAAAAAGGCAGACCCGGCGGCATGGGCGGGGATTGTGGGGCCGTGCGCGCCCACGGATGCGCCCGTGCCCGCCCTTGACTGGCAGCCGTCTTTTTTTTTTTTTCTTCCGTAAACTCAGCGTAGCCAGCTTTCTATTATTCCTCTCTCATTCTGTCAATCATACAATTCAACCAAGCAAACCGACGACTAAAGACAACATCCAATCAAACAACAGAGGGGGCGGGAGTCGCGGGACACTGAGTCAAACATACTTAACGTTCGCACATGCTTTAAATACATCTGGTCATCAGCCAGTGCGCGTCGGTATGGATATTCGGGCTTATTTTCAAAGCAATAGAAGGACAAGTACTGAAAACAGAGCAAATGAGAGTGGCCAGGGAGCAGTTTCTGCAGGAAATGTAAGCGTGACAGACAGCACTGAAGTAAAAAAAAACGCTTTTCCAATCAGTTTATTTTTAAATAAATCAAATGATGACAATAGAGTTTCATGTACAATATAGTCATTCCAGCATATATGAGATCTATGTGCCTGGACTGGGTCCAGCTTGAATTTACACAGAAAAGGTTAGCAAATACATCAGCTTTACATTTCCTAAAGCAAACCTATTTCAGT